TCTTAAATAAGCTCTTGCGGAAACCTACCCAATCCGAGAAGAAACGCTGGCTCCCTGACAAACCCTGCTACTGGGGAAAAAATGTCCGCAGAAAATTTGGAGAAAAGCTGGTGCAGCTCGAATGCATTATTCATATACTGTACTTTTGTATAGGGTCAATATGATTCGGCCTTTTTTATGTGCATTTTTTAATGTATTTAATAAATACGTACATCCCCCATATACATAAAGGAAACGATTTTGCAGTATTGAGAAAATATCATATAAAGAAGAAAGGCAAAAGAAGCGAGATAATCCCAGCCACTTGAGGAATGAGATCGCAGAGCTGCTCGCGAAACACCGCCCGGGCAGAAAAATTGGTTTTTGGGAAGCTGAGTCCAAGTCGAACTTGTGCTTGAAAAAAGGCATGAAGCGATGACCAGAAAGCGCGCGGAGAAAATTGTTTTCACTCGTGGAGAAGCATTTTTTTTCAGACATGGAACTCACAGAGCACATGAAAGAACACGCAACATTTTCTGCACTGATGATCTATTTGTTGTTTTTTTGCAGGTGCTATATCATCACCTCCAAGCGCACCAGGCTGCAATTATTTCACCCGAGCAATGAACAAAAACACATTTCCACAAGCGTTTTTTTTTAAATAGGCTTTCGCCTTTCATTCTCTAGTTTCACATGGGATATTGTTTTTTTCATTATTCTCCTCTAGTGAAAATAAAAATATCAACTTCTCGTCAAAAAAAAATCTGTTTTTGCATTCATCATTCTTAAATTCAGTGCCCCTAAATCCATAAATCCACCACCGCTAAGTCAGACTTAGTAGAGTTAGCTGAGATAGCGTAATTGGTCTAAGTCAGACTTACGAGTTACATAAGTCTCACTTAGCAGAATTACTAAGTATGATTTATCACAGTTACTAACCCACGTAAGCCCAACTTAGCTATGTCACATAACACAGCTAATTCACATATTAAATCGCCTAATACTTACTAACTTTAATAACAATTTACCAAGCACCATGAACATCCAAGCAGGCAGACAGACAGCCGTCCGCTAGGAGTTCGTTGAGGAGCTGCTTTGAAAGCGTGGGAGCTGCACTTTGGAGCTGGTTTCTTGTCGGTTCAGAAGGCAACGTTAGGCACTGAGGGCCGTTGCCCGCAGGCGCGTTCCGTCCTTCAGGGCCATGGTGTTTTGCCGTTTCGGAATCGCCCGCTAGAACTTCGCTGTAGAGCTGTTTTGAGGGCATGGGAGCAGACAGCCAGGCAGGCAGGCAGACAAACAGGCTGGCAGGGAGGCAGGCGAGGAGGCAGGCAGGCAGACAGACAGACAGGCTGGCAGGGAGGCAGGCAGGCAGGCAGACAGACAGACAGATAGACAGGCAGGCAGGCAGGCAGGCAGACAGACAGACAGGCAGGCAGGCAGGCAGACAGACAGACAGCCGTCCGCTAGGAGTTCGTTGAGGAGCTGCTTTGAAAGCGTGGGGGCTGCACTTTGGAGCTGGTTTCTTGTCGGTTCAGAAGGCAACGTTAGGCACTGGGGGCCGTTGCCCGCAGGCGCGTTCCGTCCTTCAGGGCCATGGTGTTTTGCCGTTTCGGAATCGCCCGCTAGAACTTCGCTGTAGAGCTGTTTTGAGGGCATGGGAGCAGACAGCCAGGCAGGCAGGCAGACAAACAGGCTGGCAGGGAGGCAGGCAAGGAGGCAGGCAGGCAGGCAGACAGACAGACAGGCTGGCAGGGAACTGGGGGCCGTTGCCCGCAGGCGCGTTCCGTCCTTCAGGGCCATGATGTTTTGCTAGGAGTTCGTTGAGGAGCTGCTTTGAAAGCGTGGGAGCTGCACTTTGGAGCTGGTTTCTTGTCGGTTCAGAAGGCAACGTTAGGCACTGGGGGCCGTTGCCCGGGCCGTTGCCCGGGCCGTTGCCCGCAGGCGCGTTCCGTCCTTCAGGGCCATGGTGTTTTGCCGTTTCGGAATCGCCCGCTAGAACTTCGCTGTAGAGCTGTTTTGCGGGCAGGCAGACAGACAGACAGGCAGGCAGACAGACAGACAGCCGTCCGCTATAGGAGTTCGTTGAGGAGCTGCTTTGAAAGCGTGGGAGCTGCACTTTGGAGCTGGTTTTTGTCGGTTCAGAAGGCAACGTTAGGCACTGGGGGCCGTTGCCCGCAGGCGCGTTCCGTCCTTCAGGGCCATGGTGTTTTGCCGTTTCGGAATCGCCCGCTAGAACTTCGCTGTAGAGCTGTTTTGAGGGCATGGGAGCAGACAGCCAGGCAGGCAGGCAGACAAACAGGCTGGCAGGGAGGCAGGCGAGGAGGCAGGCAGGCAGACAGACAGACAGGCTGGCAGGGAGGCAGGCAGGCAGGCAGACAGACAGACAGATAGACAGGCAGGCAGGCAGGCAGGCAGACAGACAGACAGGCAGGCAGGCAGGCAGACAGACAGACAGCCGTCCGCTAGGAGTTCGTTGAGGAGCTGCTTTGAAAGCGTGGGGGCTGCACTTTGGAGCTGGTTTCTTGTCGGTTCAGAAGGCAACGTTAGGCACTGGGGGCCGTTGCCCGCAGGCGCGTTCCGTCCTTCAGGGCCATGGTGTTTTGCCGTTTCGGAATCGCCCGCTAGAACTTCGCTGTAGAGCTGTTTTGAGGGCATGGGAGCAGACAGCCAGGCAGGCAGGCAGACAAACAGGCTGGCAGGGAGGCAGGCAAGGAGGCAGGCAGGCAGGCAGACAGACAGACAGGCTGGCAGGGAGGCAGGCAGGCAGGCAGACAGACAGACAGATAGACAGGCAGGCAGGCAGGCAGACAGACAGACAGGCAGGCAGGCAGACAGACAGACAGACAGCCGTCCGCTAGGAGTTCGTTCAGGAGCTGCTTTGAAAGCGTGGGAGCTGCACTTTGGAGCTGGTTTCTTGTCGGTTCAGAAGGCAACGTTAGGCACTGGGGGCCGTTGCCCGCAGGCGCGTTCCGTCCTTCAGGGCCATGGTGTTTTGCCGTTTTGGAATCGCCCGCTAGAACTTCGCTGTAGAGCTGTTTTGAGGGCATGGGAGCAGACAGCCAGGCAGGCAGGCAGACAAACAGGCTGGCAGGGAGGCAGGCAAGGAGGCAGGCAGGCAGGCAGACAGACAGACAGGCTGGCAAGGCAGACAGACAGACAGATAGACAGGCAGGCAGGCAGGCAGGCAGACAGACAGACAGGCAGGCAAGGCAGGCAGACAGACAGACAGACAGCCGTCGCGCTAGGAGTTCGTTGAGGAGCTGCTTTTGAAAGCGTGGGAGCTGCACTTTGGAGCTGGTTTCTTGTCGGTTCAGAAGGCAACGTTAGGCACTGGGGGCCGTTGCCCGCAGGCGCGTTCCGTCCTTCAGGGCCATGGTGTTTTGCTGTTTCGGAATCGCCCGCTAGAACTTCGCTGTAGAGCTGTTTTGAGGGCATGGGAGCAGACAGCCAGGCAGGCAGGCAGGCAAAACAGGCTGGCAGGGAGGAGGCAAGGAGGCCAGGCAGGCAGGCAGACAGACAGACAGGCTGGCAGGGAGGCAGGCAGGCAGACAGACAGACAGATAGACAGGCAGGCAGGCAGGCAGACAGACAGACAGGCAGGCAGGCAGACAGACAGACAGCCGTCCGCTAGGAGTTCGTTGAGGAGCTGCTTTGAAAGCGTGGGAGCTGCACTTTGGAGCTGGTTTCTTGTCGGTTCAGAAGGCAACGTTAGGCACTGGGGGCCGTTGCCCGCAGGCGCGTTCCGTCCTTCAGGGCCATGATGTTTTGCTAGGAGTTCGTTGAGGAGCTGCTTTGAAAGCGTGGGAGCTGCACTTTGGAGCTGGTTTCTTGTCGGTTCAGAAGGCAACGTTAGGCACTGGGGGCCGTTGCCCGGGCCGTTGCCCGCAGGCGCGTTCCGTCCTTCAGGGCCATGGTGTTTTGCCGTTTCGGAATCGCCCGCTAGAACTTCGCTGTAGAGCTGTTTTGAGGGCATGGGAGCAGACAGCCAGGCAGGCAGGCAGACAAACAGGCTGGCAGGGAGGCAGGCAAGGAGGCAGGCAGGCAGACAGACAGACAGGCTGGCAGGGAGGCAGGCAGGCAGACAGACAGACAGATAGACAGGCAGGCAGGCAGGCAGACAGACAGACAGGCAGGCAGGCAGGCAGGCAGACAGACAGCCGTCCGCTAGGAGTTCGTTGAGGAGCTGCTTTGAAAGCGTGGGAGCTGCACTTTGGAGCTGGTTTCTTGTCGGTTCAGAAGGCAACGTTAGGCAGTTGGCCCGTTGGCCCCCAACCAGGGCGAGGAGTGAGCCAGAGGAAAACATCAAGCTCCACTACTGGAGTGAATCTGGGGTCGGCGGCAGGGGGCGTAAGCCCTTTAATTATCTTTCATATCCTTATATGAAATCCGGCCAGGGGCCCCCTGGCCGTGGCATTGCCGTACGGCGTTTCTCTCCTCTCCGTAGGAGAGAGGGGCCGCCGCCCCTGCCGGAGACACCTTTGCCCGCCAAAAACCCCCGCGTTTTACGGTGTTTTGTGCTCTTTGCATTTTTTCCCATTTTTCGGATCTGGTGGTTTAAGATGGGTCAACATGGGCCAAGATAGGCCTCAAGATGGGCCAACATAGCCCCAAGATGGGCCAACATAGCCCCCAAGATGGGCCAACATAGCCCCAAGATGGGCCAACATAGCCCCAAGATGGGCCAACATAGCCCCAAGATGGGCCAACATAGCCCCAAGATGGGCCCACATTGCCCTCAAGATAGGCCAACGTAGCCCCAAGATGGGCCAACATAGCCCCAAGATAGGCCGCCGACCATCAAAATAATGCGTTTTACAGTGTTTTTTTTGCTGTTCCCATTTTTCGGATCTTTTGGCTCAACATGAATCAACATGAGGCCAACATAGCCACAAGCTGGGCCCACATTGCCCGCAAGATAGGCCAACATAGGCCAACATAGGCCAGCATAGCCACAAAATGGGCCTACATAGTTGGGCCCCTGGCCGGCTGTCGCGCGTAAGCGCTTAAATCAAACGCACAATTCACCTGCTCTCAAGAACTCCAAAGACTTGGCACTTCGGTTGTGAAGCGAAAAAGGCGTTGCAGTTGCAGTTGCAGTCAATATAGTTCACTTCATCATGCCAAGATACTCTGTGGGTGATGAAGTGACCCTCCGTCGCATGCCCCAAGTGGGACATCACAGAGCACAAGCCGTAGCCAGCGCTAAGACCCAGGTCATTCAAGATCTCAGGGTAGCGGACAGGATTGCTGACCTGATCCGGTGAATGGATTCCAGGATCCGGGTGAATTCCAATCTGGATGTCTCAATCAGTTTCAGCCAACTTGCAACATGGAATTGCTATGAATTGCTGATGTGCAAAATACATCCAAATACTGTGAAGTAGCTTCTCTGATGGCGGAGAGAACCGTTATCTCGGCCTCTGTACAAAAGTGTGTGCTTAGTGACTTAGTGCACCAACCCAGGGATTCACACTACTACCATGACATTGGCAGAGGTGGTCCCAATTTGGATGCTCAGCTCCCACCTTGATGAAGCCGAAAGGTCCGAAAATGAGCCTGCGCATGTGAAAGGTGAAGATCCGCGGGGCCACTCTGATGCGAAAGGATCGTACGTGGCTGCGACGTTTCAGTACCTCTGACGCAGGCAGTTCTGAAATTCCCGAAGATCGATGGTTGTACTGCAGGCTTTAGCATTGCTCATAATCCATGATCATCAATGCACAAAGAGAAAAGCGTCCATCCAATGAAACCGGTGTATATATATATATATGATATGTGCATATATGACATGAATAAATATGATAAGATATGATAAGCATGTATATAGAATATAGTCATGATTAACCAATCACAATTACCACATATATAATATATATATATATATACACACATATGTACACATTATACACAGTATATAGTTATGCATACATATAGCCACAATTCTGCCAGAGGACACAGGGAGGAGCAGCCACAGGTCGTAGCGCTTCCAATCCCTCCATATCTGGCAGCCTGGCACCAGCAGCATGCGCCTCCAGCAGCGCTGCAAAGCGATGACACGCACGGGCAGCGAAGATCGAGGCGCCGGAGTCCAACAGCGCGCGACCTTCGTGGCAGCTGATGGCTACAAAATGTGGATGTTCAAAAAATGTGTTTTGAAAAGATCAAAATGTGTTTTTTGAGTATATCTATGTGTATGATTGTGTATGTGGTTGCCTCAAGATATCCAAACATCCAAATGTTGGCATGTTGGCATGTTGACTCAATTTCCTCCTGATCTTTCCCATCGATCCGCTGGAATGCATGGGAGCATGGGAGCCGAGCAGCGAAGGGAGGCCTCCAAAGAGCAACGGTCGCAAACCAAACCGTCGATCTCTTCCGTGGGTTTTCCACCGTAGGAGCTGCCCAGCAAGTTCACCAAATTCCTGCATCAACTTTGATGTTTGAGCCACATATAATCCTGAAAATATGATGTGTTCAGCTGGGATCACGACCAGTATAATAACATATAATAAGCCTCATCATCATCATCATCATCATCATCATCATCATCATCATCATCATCATCATCATCATCATCTTCATTATCACCATATATCACCATCATAATCATAATCATCAGGATGAAACGAAGAACATCTTTGAAACCGCTGTCAACCAGTAGGGACAGAAGCCTTTAGCCTCAGAACCGTTGGGTGTCGGGGAGATGCCCAGAAAACATGACAGGGGGCGTTTTATCTATCAGGCTGCAAAAGTGTGTTCCCAAATGGCTTTTAAGCGCAAATGGCGCTGAAAATGGGGCACCTCCAATTTTCAGAAACTAGGTAGCATCAGTGTTCCCATTAAAACGGACCTTTTTTGGTTTTCAGACAAAGCCAAATGCTGTTTGACCCTTCAAAAGTCACCCATCCACCGGTGAAAAATCCAGCTCCAAGGCCTACCGCAGCCAAGGCTCACGCTGGAAAAGTGCGGGTGATTCATTTGGATCAGATCCAGAGACAAACCTCGGGCGGGGATTTCACCATGAACCATCCATGAACAAAATGGGAGGTTTTTATGCACCAAAACTTGGGAATTTGACCACTGTAAATTTGGGACATGGACGTCCAATCTGCTGGAGTGGGGTCCAACATGGTCCAACACACCGCAAACTGATGAATCATGGATGCACAAGCCTAATTTTTTTTTTAATGCACAGAAAGAGTACATCCACATCACTCTGGACAGCGCCAGAAAAAGAATACAAGAGCATGCGCGAATATCTGGAAATGCGGAATGCCTTGAAACAGGTCAGAAACAAACTTTCTCAACGTTCAGCTGAAGCAACAACGGAAGGCCTGCTTCGAAGGGCAACTTTCCACCTCAGTTGAATCGTATGTCAGAGAGGTAAACAGCCAGGCCGATGCAAGACACTCTTGCAAAAAAAGAACAGATTCCAAATTCCCATCAAGTGATATTATAGTAATTTATAGTATATCATAGTCAAGTTATATTATTCCCATGATATCCCCATTATACTCCACCACTGTTGGTTAAGTCATCATTGAACCTTTTCGGAAAAATGCTGCCTCCAAGGCACCCTGACCAGGCCACAGCTCCGACAAAGTCGCCTCTCTTCCAGGACCCCTTCAAACAGATCCTGTGGCGGACAAAACGGGGCTGCCGCATAGCGATATGGCTGGGAAATGGATGGAAATGGGGGTAGCTGGGTCTTCACTTTTCAGCCATACCCAGATTGGCTCAAGACCAGTGGGTGAAACCTTCCCACTATCCAAAACTCATCAAAACTCCATATGGCCTGGAAGTGTTGAAGTGCTTCTGATGCTTCACCTCGGGGAATCATGGGGAATCCACAGATTCTTCATAGATGTGCCATAGATTTTAGAACCAAACATACCAAACTTGCTAATGTAATGTATAGGGAGGTCTGTTGGGCGGCTGGGCATTGCTCATTTGACGTTCGGTCCACACTGGTTGCACGACTTGGCGGGATTTTTCAGCCACCCAGAGCGACCAGACACTTCCCTGCCCAGCCACAGAAGTGGAGAAAGTTCGGACTGCCGAGCCAATAGGGCCTCATTGGGTCCCAAGGCTTCAGCCTCTGAAATGCGGCCACCTTGCGCTTGCCTCAGGGTATCTGGCAGTTGTGGCACCAATGGACTCACAATCCACAAACCTTGTCACTTTTAGAATTCGGGAGCTGATCTTTTGACATAATTTGACCCATATCTACAGAGCCTGCTATTTGTCGACTTGTTAATTGTTTTCAGTTTTCCTGCTGAACAAAAGACAACGAAAGAAACCAAAGCTCGTTGTGCCAAGTGGCTGAGTCCAACATAGACAGCCTCTAGTAACTTCACAAGAGCCTCATGGGCATCTTGCTGTTCACCAGAAATGGAAGAGATGCCACACTCCTCCACGGCAGCCCTGCTAAATTTCTTTCATGGGATGTCGAAAATTCGGCCGGAAGTAGGGATGACTAAGATCGTATCCAGTGTATCAAGTCTGCCAATGGTGTCCTCTGATATTTACGAATATTTGGGGACACATTCGAGTAGAGAACTCTTGGCTGAGAGTTTTCCGCACCCAGCTGCCCAGCTCCTCTTGAATGGCAATCGCCAGCTCTGACACTTGTGGAAGACCATCATCTAGGTCGCCATTCAAATACAAAAGCACAGAAGCCAAGCAAGCCAGTACCTTGGCAACAGAAGTAGCAAGTGCAGCACCTTCTGATGGATTTGCTAAGGGTGGAGCAAACTGGGTGAACGATGCTGCTGATCTGAAACATGACATCATTAGGATTCACAAACTGTTTCTACTAAACACCTGGGTGTACTTTCCTACCACAGAACCTGCCAAATATGTCGACCTTGCTTCCTTGGAGCCAAAATACATCTTTGGGCGCTTGACCGAAACTTTCAGTGTCCCCTTTGGATGCTTCAGCATCAGGACGGTTCGCCGATTTCAGCACGCTCCACCACCTGCATGCGTCCCCCAGCATGCAGTGGTAAATTGATGCCCCTCAACTTGCCGGTTCACTAGCGTCACTAGCAGATTCTGGAATAAGTGTCTGTTTCAGCCAATGTCTTGAGTCTTGACAAGAGCAGCGAAGCTCTGCGCTCACTCGCAAGGGTTGGACCTAACCCGCCGGTTGGGCCTGGGGTCATGTATGCTGGCTAATGCCTGCAATACAGCATTGAACCAGCACCAGTGTCCAGGATTTGCAAAAGCGGGAGGAAGGCTGTCCCGATAGACCGTAGGCACCAGGCGGTCCATGCCATGTGGATTCCAGATTTCCAAATGGATTTGTTGTGCCTAAGTTAATTGGTCACAACACACCGTTTTGAATCACATAATATCATCACTTGAGGTCCAGCAACGAAGATGGCACGGCGCAAAATAAACATGTACTTCCGTATCACTGCAAGAAATGCTTATTTGCGAATGGCCACTTAAAACATCGTGTAAATGTCAGTGATATTGCGGGGATACATCATGTTCGCATATGTTCGTCCTATTGCTAGATGCTGTAAGCACTTGTTTTTGCTGCGCTGGGCTGGCAAAAGACATCTAACAGAGACATCAAATCAAAATTATCAGACATATCAGTCTGGTTTTTGCTATGAAACAGCCCATTGCAAATAAACAGCAGCCCTCGCTTAAAAAATTGCAGAGTTCCAACAGAAAGGAGGAGAGAACTGTCTTATGACATGTATAACTGTATAAGTTGACTCATCCAGTCTCTTCTGCGAGCCACTCGCAGCTGACCCTACCAATGACGCCATGTTAGTGCCCTTGTGTGATGACCGCTTGCATGAAGTAGAATCTACAAGTATGCTGTATGCTTTACAGGCACGTTTGAAGACAAGGGCACTAAACATATCTCAGCATAACAAAACTTCATTCATATTTTTTGTTCCATCATGTTCCATCGCTTGAACGAACCTGGGTTCCATTCGACACCTCTATCACCCTGTGAATCCCCATGATGTCTTGATAGCATCCTGCCGTAGTCATGTAGGTGTACAATGCATTCAGATTGAGAATGGGGCAGTTCGGGAAGGGCATGATGCGGAGTTCTAGCTCGCTACCACACTCAGATTTGTTTTTCCTGACATGGGGCTCAGTTCGTCAAAGCTGTACTGTATCTGAGTCTCTTTGCTTCTTTGCTCACCTTTGCTCTATATGTATATATATATATATATGTAATTGTATGTTTATATATATATATATATATATGTGCTCTATGTTCAACCCCAATGTTGACGTCAGATCAATAAACCCTTTTAAAAAAATCTAGTCGTCATCCAAACGGAGTTTTCCAGAACCCCCATGCAGGCAGGTGAAGCGTTCTTGTATGTTCTTGTAATTGAGAAATCTATTCATGAAAGCTTTTGGGAGTTCAAATTTGAGTGCATTTGATTTAGAGGTTAAATAATAAGGTTGAATATGGCGCACGAGTTCCAAATATAGAAACCTCTACGTAAAAATACGGGATCCAACATGCAACAAAAAACAAAAAAAAAACGTACTTTATGGGCAATTTACTCATCTGGACCAGAGGGTTAGCAAACTTTCTTTATTGTGCACCTGTGTGCTAATCATATGTGAACATTATGCAATAAGAAGAAGATACTAATAGAAGAAGACATCAATGGACTCTTGAATTGGATGTGATCATGGTCAACCTGTAATTACTACGGTTCACGCTTTTCTTTCCAAGGGTTGGGTGTGCATGGCCCTGCCATCTGCATAAGCCAGGTGCAACGAAAGATGTGGAAATAAACGCGCGAATTGAGCTATGACGAAAACACATGACACGCATGGATAGTGCGTGACGTAGAGGAACATCTCTCCATGTACCTCCAGCCCCCTTTCAGGGCCAGTTTGAAGCCAGTCAGAGGCAACTTGAAGCAGGGCGCAGCGTTCTGCATGCCCACTGCGGTCATGTTCACCGATCATATTTGGGGCCATACGACTCTTCGTCATCATCGGCTTCAACAGCTGCGCAACGCGCGTTTGGGACATCTCTGCTTCTAAGCGCCAACTAAATGCCCGACCATGTTCCGCATGTTTGAGACCATCCAAGGAAATCTGATACCGAACCCACGCAACAATTTCGCGCTTGTTCACCTTATCAAGCTGTCTCACCAATTTTTGTTGTTCAGCAGGAGCATTCTCTTCAGCCCCAGCTTGGATAGCCCTCTCTCGTTCCAGCGCACAGGCCTGTGCTGCTTCTTGAATCCAGCTGCAGCCTATGTGGCTGGATTGGTGAACTTGCACTGAGCCTAAGACACCAATATTTTTCAAAAATGTTGCAGTGAAACCAACTCCCAAATGATCGATGTCTAGCTGTGAGATGCAGGTCTCCACTTGAGACCAATCTGCCATGCCATGTCTGGGGGGTATTGCCTCCGTCAGTGGACGAAAGATATGTTCCTCCAGCAATGCCTTCAGATTGGTCCACCGTTCGTGCAGGATATTTGCCATTGGCAGAGCAGCATTGCCCAGGATCAAAAATTCCCGAGCTCCAATGCCACCAACAAAGCCGCGACGGAGAAAGAGATCAATAGCCGCTTCACAAAGTCTGACTTCTTGAAGGCCTGCAGCTTGCATCGCACTCAACACCTGCGCCACATTGTGGGATGCTTCATCTTTATAGCAGCGCCTGGCTGTTTCCTCACAGGCCTTATGTAATAAGGCTTCACTATAGGTGGAAACGTTGGCAAAGGACCAAAGGATGTTGCCAATACCTTGCATGTCGAATTCATTGACATGACTGCGCGAGTACTGGGCGACTGCTGTCATCCAGGGCACATGACACCGTCCAATGATTGTACTGTAAGCCCAAGCAGAGTTCGCAATTTCTCGCGGCGCACAGCTGTGAATCCCTCTTCCACCTAAGATCTCGTCTACAACTTGGTCAAAGAATTCATGGTTGCAAACCCCAGCGGTGCCATGGGCCCAGAGCATAATGGAAAGTTCATGCGTTTTGAATTCCGCCAGTCCTAAACTGATCGCATGGTTGGCAGATTTCAAGAAGAGCCATGGCAGTCGAAAGTTTACAGTTGCGTAAGCCCAAAGCATGTTGTTGAGCTCTTGGGCTTTGCATTCTTGGAGTCGAAGTACAAATGGATCTGCTGCCTGCTTAAAAAATGAAACATCGCGCGTTTCCAATGCAGCCAGTGACCAGGCTGTGATGGCTAGATTTTGCGCTGACAACTCTGACATCATTACCTTTCCCAAGCTTGTCAAGCGAGATATCACGTTACTGTCATGATGCAAAACTGCAGCGAATGCCCAAAGAGTGTTTGCTACATCCAAAGGTTCG